ATTAAATACATTTTTATGAGCTCTACAACTTTTGTTAGAAGCCAAAGAGTGATTTACTTAGTATAAAAAAAGTTTTAAATAGAGACGCTGTGCTTTCGCACTTATAGTAAAATTTATATATAAAAAAAAATTTTTTGTCTAGATAACTGGTGAATCGCCTATTAAACAAACATTACATATATTTATATATACTTTTAACCTATCTAAGTAGTCGTTATGACCTCACCTAGCTATCCTATATGGTGCCCAGATGCAACTGTCTGCACTACCTCATATATGAGATGGACATCCTCGAGTATTTCTATCAAGAAGTACTCTAAGTTCTGATCTAACTCAGAACCTTAATGTTTTTACTAATTCATATATACCTCGCTATATATACTACTATACAACGTCTGCTAGTTATAATCCACCTTTCATTACTTGTTGCAGATTAAAATAAAATCAGATTAAAATAAAACAGGGAACCTCTCTCACTCTCCTTTAAAGCTTATAAAACCCATTTATACTTTTTTTTTAATAAACCTAACACTAAACCCTAACTCTAACTCTAATTCTAACTCTAAAAAATATTTTCCAAAATTTTTTAAATTGTCTCTAAAAAATATTAAAATTTCAATTTTAATCTGATTTTATTTTAATCTATTATATTACTTATCACATTACTCCTAATTCGTTTTTTGTATAACTTCCAAATTGGTGTTTTAGGAGTGGCGCTTTTTTTGCTTTTAGTTTGGTGTCTCTTGAAATGTTACTTCAGATATTAATCCATATCTCAAACCAGGTACTGCCACTGTCCAAAGACCCATATCTCAAGCCACCTGCTGTCGTTATTAGAAGAGCTGTTCACATAGTTCTAGGTATTCACATTATACACTACCAAATCAGGCTATCACTTCTTTTATAGTACTTTCTATCGGTATAGTATTACAGAAATCTAGATCCTTAGAATAGGAGTTAAGTACCTCATTTAATTACTATCACAAGCTAGTAACCTAGAACCCATACTTCTGCTATGTTTCGTCATGCTTTCATGACTTCCATATAGGTTGTGCAACACATTACTCACTGGCCAACTTTATTTTTGTACTATTGGAGCGCTTGCTTTTATACTTTTCAGAGTTTCTTTTAGCTGGTTTTCCTTGTTTCCTTGTACCAGAGGTTTCTTATTTGGTAAAGTCATTCTTTTACTACAGCCCCTTACTATGTTTACTGCTTCTTTCACCACTTCTGGATATATTGCATACAGCCATCCTCTCTATTAAGATCCCAATGCCGCCTTAGAGTTGTTGGTGCTACCTTGTCAATCGTGAATTTATATACACAGCTTTCTGCAATATTACCTTCTGTGACCCATGTCATACACAGTGCCTGATCTTCTCCATGGCTTGAGACTCCTTCCAAGAATTCTTTATCAGCCAAATATGTACTTCACATGGTCTTACCACCACAAAGTTCCGTATTCAAAAGCCTTCAAAGGTTATAGCAATAATTAATTAAATTACAGTAATTACCACTAGCTATAATTGAACTATTGACCTTGTTTGTAGAGAGTTAGATGTCTAGACCACTAGGCTACTCATATTCTTGCTATTAATTTAATCTTTTTATTTAAAGAAACTTGTTCTAAAAAAAAAATAATAATAAGATATATAAGAGAACAATCAAGGATATATAACAATAAAAACAACGCACTTATCTAATTTCACTTTGTTAAGTTTTGTATATATAGTATGCAAATTTCAATTTCTAAAATTTAAATTCAGAGTAAATAATATTAATATATAAAATATATAATCTATCTTGAAATTGCCTTATATTTTTTGTTTCTCTTGAAATTACAAGTGGATAATTGGGTAAATCAATATATTCAGAATCAATATTCATTCTATATAAGCAATATTAACATATTATTGCTCTCTTTAAGTTAAAAAATCCAATTAACTATTTCAGAGCTTTTGCAAACTTATCTTCTTTTGCTTTCAAAATATAGCTAAATAAATTTTATATTTAGAATAAGAGCAAAAATTAGTTAGTTTAGTTTCTTATTCTTTGCATTTACAATATACTTATTGTAATATTTTTTGCATAAGACCTTGTCAACTAAATCTAAATGTTGACTTGAAGCTGGTATAGCTAATTGATTTGTAATAGTTGTTGCACCATATTGATTATAATTGCAGATAACATTATTATAATTCTTCAAATCACAGTGATAAGCTTTTCTTTTTCTTTGGCTAAGCTGGCTTCGTTGTGCTTTTCTTGTGCAGACATTTTGTTACAGTATATTTCTTTCTTAAGCTACTTAAAAATATTGATAGTATCGATATAGAAATTCAATGAACAACCTGATCTTTAATTACTAATCACATTACACAAAATCTAAATTTATTAACTAATAAAATTCGCAAAAATCACAAGTTGATCTACAAAAAATTAACCAATTACAGCAAAAGCCTGCTATGCTTGTCAGTATACAATATTTTTCAAACATCAAGTATTGCCCCAAATAAAATTTACTTACATGTGATAATATAAACTATTTTCTAAGCCTACAAGTATTTTTTTTTAAGCAAGGATATATCAGATAATCTCCATAATCAGCCTCTAAAACATCTGGCTGTTGCATAACAGAACCTTCTATAAAAACAAATTTATGGAATAAAGATAAAATTTTTACGAAAAAAGCAGTGAATGTATCTTCAGGATATAATATTGAACAAGTTATCTTAATAGTTTCCAAATTAAGATCTTCACCGAAATTCTGGCTAGTAATATTTTCCAGGAGATGGGCATTTAATTTGTCTTTTTTGAACTTTTTTACTTCTAATTCCAAAGATTTTAATAATTTTATTTTCAAAAGTTCAATAATATCTTTTGGAGGGCTTGTAATACTTGAGCATTTAGCAAAGCTCTGTATCTCGGTGTACTCTTCATTACTTAACCATTTTGGTTTTGCTATCTTGAAACCATAACGGATGATTCTCCAAACCTCTGGTCTCAGAGGATGTCCTTTGACATTTGATGCTTTCTCTAGCAATTCAGTAACTACCGAACCAGATTTTAATGTCCAACAATTCCAAAAATCATAATTGAAAGAGCGTTCAAAATAAGGAATTATAACTTCATTAGTTTCTTTAAGTACTAATTCCGGGTCAATCTCTATGCCCTCTTCATAACTTGGAAGTCCTCCATAAAAGATAGAGTGCTGATTGGATTCCGAAAACTTAGGTGACTCAATAATAAGGTTATCCAGTCGTCGTGGTAGTGGTGTGATGTAACCGTCTCGATTATATTGCCTTTTTAATACTCGTTCTTCCTCAGTATCACTTGCATTTTCCCTTTTCCCTAGGGTATTTGTATTTCGCAACAGGTCTTGATCTTCTTAATCGTAACTTTGCGCACCAAGATCACTCAACTCTTGTACAGCTTCGGAAACAATTTGATCATTCTTGAGAAGAGAAGAGATGAAAGAGATAAATATATAATTGAGACAAAATACGATTTGTGTTGACATAATGATATCAACAAACCTTGACTTCATCCATTATTTCTCCCCTAAGATCTTCATGTTTCCTTTCAGAGTCATATTCGATGGTTGATGTGTTTATTGCGTTGCGCAAATCTTCGATTGCTATTCTGTCCGTACGATGCTCCTAATAGGATTGTTAGTAAGACTATTATAATGCTTTATTCTCCTAGGTTTGCCTTAAGACGCACCTCCAGTGCCCTTAATGTACTTGCGGATGTAACTCTTCGATTTATCGATGTGTGAAATTCCTTTTTTTTCATTTTTTAGTTCAATTTCATCAATAAAACGTTTACATCGGCTGAAAAGAATGACTTATCATAATTTGTCAGAATTTTCCTCGCCTTTTTCTTGGCAAACTCGTGCACATAGCATTTGTCGCTTAAACTACATAGTAACGAATACATGTCATCCTTGAAAATATTGATTATATCTAAAGATAATAATTCGGTTTTTGGCTCTATGTATCGCAAGGCATTAATAACCACCATTCCTTCTGTGGGTTATGGTCGAAGTAATCATTCAATAGTGATTCAAACATAGTTCTTACATGTACAGAAAGAAACACGCACTCTTATTTAATACGCGTAATATATTTAACTGGCAGTGGCTTAGCGATGCTGATTGTTTAAGTCCGGAGCACAAGTGTAACTAAATAAACAATCACGTATATCACGTATATTACGTATTGACTATATCAGATACATGGTCGCTCCGGACTAACAAGACATGTTACTATTCGGAACCTCTTTCACGCGCATTCCCTACTGGCGTATGGCCATTATTTCCTACGTTAGATGTTTGGTACTAGTCTGTAGAATTTCCTTGAGCATGCGTGTTCAAGGCATTACCCTGTATGCTAGTGTCCAGGTTTGCGTTGTATATACCTACTGGCATACGGCCATTACTTCCTGTGTCAGATGTTTGGAAGCATTCTGTAGGATTTCCTTTTGCATGCGTGCTTAAGGCATTACTCTGCATGATGTTTTCCAGTATATTGTGACTGAAATCCCAACCGCTATTGTCCTTTACAAAAAATCAATGAAAAATGGAAGATTTTTGATGCATACAATGTGTACAAAACTTTATTAATAATTTCAGATTAGTAGCAAATTGGGGAAATGATAGAGGATTGCAAGAGAAACATATGATGCTATCAAAGAGGGAGGGAGTTCTCGGATCCTAGGCATTGGTGGCGCAGTCACAATTAGTCAATTAATTGCAATTTTACGTAATTAGATAATATCGTATATTCTCCACTACGATATGATTTTTGATTTCTGTTTTTCGCTGTTTAAAAGATCAGGTTACACCAGTGAAAGAAAATTGAATTTAATTGCAATTAATTGCAATTATTTCGTCATTAATTGGGTTTCAATTAATTTTACGATAATTTTAATTGATTTTAATTGTATGACGTATAGCAAAAATTAATTTAAATTAATTTTTCGGCAGGCCTGCGTAAATTCAACCCAGTATGTTTCATATTCCTCCGTATATTCGGAATATTGCCCCATGGAAACGTGACTTGTAGAAGAGAATCGATTGGATCCAGCTAGAAAAAAATAAGCGCAGATGAGTATATTATGCATATCAGATATTTTAATGTGTTTAAGACAATAGCCTACCTTGAGATGCTGTATCATTTCTCCATTCAGCTTCTGTACGCATTTTTTGAAACTCATTACTTAATGCTAAGATGGTTTTTTCGAGATTATTATCTCCCGATTCCTTTAGATAATATAATTTATAATAGGTGGTATCCCACTGCTATATATATCTAAATATTTCTAAATTTGCTGAAAGCATTCTTGAAATCAATATATATGTTACGAGTCAAGTTGTTTTTTAGGTTGACCCGGTCAAAATGTCCCCAGCAGAATTTAGGGTTAGTGCGGGCCAGAATTATGTTAATGCCGGCCGGTTTTTTTAATTTATTGACATATTATATGTATATTATTTTAAAAAATAAATCTATATAAAGAAAATATACAAAAATTGATCTTGGACAGCATGTGTTTTCTAAGTTTATTTATTAATAAAAGATTAGCTATTAATAAATTATGTAAATCTCAATTCTATATTTATTTAAATAAATTCTAGAAAGATAAATTGGTTTTGAAGATACATACGAACTAGGGTTCTGCAAGTAAACGTACCGGGCACAATTGGCATTATGCCAGGCACTGTTGACACTTTGTCAGGCGGAAATACGTGTGCCAAAGTGCCTGTAATTTCTAGAAGCAATTAGGAATTTTAAGAGATTCGAAATACTGCGTTTTTACGTCTCAAATTGGTCTCATGCTTATAATTAGTGATAAGCGCCTCTCTATTTTCATCAACAATTAAAAATTCTAAGGAATTCGTAAGGCTACGTATATACGTCTCAGGTAGATTTCCACGCTCATAAGCATTTATAATATAAGCGATACCAAAAAAAAAAAACTCCAGGCTTCTGAGGTTGAATTTTAATTTAGCTTTTAAGAAATTTTTAGATGTTGAATTCGATAAGTTGATTTATTTAATCTTTGAAGCTTGGTTTCTTTGGTATTACTCATATATACTAGGTCAGTGTTGTCTATTGGAACGTTCCAGTGGAAATTACTGGAACTGGATGGCCATTGGACCTAACTGGATGGAATTGGAAGCAAATTTACTTCCAGTGATCGGATGTCCACTGGACCATTCCAGTGAAGATTCCTATTGGTTGGATGGAACTTCCAGTGACTTCTAATGAAAAAAAATACATGCGATTTTAATTTGTATAATATATACCGGGTGTCCCAAAAGTTCCTATACATGGTCCCTTTTTTTTTTTTTAAGTATTGTATAAATAATCATCATAATCTCTATATATAAGTCACTTTAAAAAAAGGGACCGTGTATAGGGACTTTTGGGACACCCGTATATCTATACGTACTAGAGTGGTAAATTGACTAAATGGGCTGCCGTCAATAGAAATAAGGCAGATTGACATTTTAAAAAAATCAATACTTTAACTTTCTCAGATCACATCTTGATGGATTTTGAAGCTACTTAATTATTTAATAGTCAAAAAAAAGCTTACGGTCTAAGCTTTCTTTTGAATATTAAATCATCAAGATAACCTCAAAGTTCATCGAGATACGAACTGTGATAGTTAAGGTATTTGATTTTTTTAAAAAATGTCATTCTGCCTTATTTCTATTGATTGTTATTTTTTAATATCCCCACATATTTTACTGGGGTGTCTATCATCGGTCTAATTACAAACATAGTGCAGATTATATAGTGTTCATCACTTAATAAAGATTTTTTATAGTAAATTTTTGGATCTGCACGCTATATAAAATAATTATAAAAATCGAATTTACTACGCCTTTAATTCCTCTCGTAATATTTAACATTTTTAATTCTATAAGAGCAAAATGGTTTTAAAAAGGTATCATTATAACGTAATAACGTCAGAATTTTATTTTGTTTATTAAAATATATTATGGGTTAAAATCCGGCCAACGATTTACTATGTGGCCTGCATTATGTTAAACATTATGCAGGCCACATGGTAAATCGTTGGCCGGATTTTAACCCATAATATCTTTTAATTAATAAAATAAAATTCTGACGTTGTTTCGTTATAATGATGCCTTTTTAAAACCATTTTGCTCTTATAGAATTAGAAAATGTTAAATATTACGAGAGGAATTAAAGGCGTAGTAAATTCGATTTTTATAATTATTTTATATAGCGTGCAGATCCAAATATTTACGTACTATAAAAAATCTTTATTAAGTGATGAACACTATACGTATAATCTGCACTATGTTTGTAATTAGACCGATGATGGACACCCCACTAGCCCATGTATACTCCTGAATATATGTATACTCATACAGCTAAATGTTTCATATAATAAATGTTAACATTAAAATAAATAACAAAGTGAACCAGTTATAATCTTTACATAAATTTCAAAGAGTTATAAAAATAGGTTGTTTTTTTCAAATAACGAAAAACTGTACACCATTTAATAACTTATATTTTATTATTACATTCAATGATGCAATTTTCAACAAAAAGTCTAGCGTCATATGTCGGCCTTATATTTCTTATAATGGTGATCTACAACGGAATACTCATTTTCCAAGAAAATTTTTCTAGTAACTCTAACATAAATAATACAAATATCAATGAATTAAAATGCACAAACTGCCCCAGCACCCTCGGATTTAGTCATGTTTACGTTATCAATCTTATGTATCGAGTAGATAGATTGAGAAAAATGAATGCCTTAAAAAATTATCTTGGTCTGGATTTTGAATTTGTCAACGGCGTTAATAAATATGATAACAGGGAACTTAAAAGATTTAATAAGAGTGACTTAAGTCTAGGCATTAAGGCTTGCTATTTAAGTCATTACAGACTTTATGAAACAATTGTGAAAAGAGGATATGAAAGTACTTTAATTTAGAGGATGATATCGATATGGAACTTAATATTACCGATATTATGGCTGAAATTCATCAAAATTTACCTAATGATTGGGATTTACTATTCATTGGTCATTGTTATTCAGGGAATACTGAGTACGTAGCCAATTTGACTGCTCATGAATTACATAAACGTGGTTATGTACAGTGTACACATACTTATGCTGTTTCGGCTAAAGGTGCTAAGAAGTTATTAGAAAAAATTAATATTAATGACCTACAAAAAGCTATTGATTTAGAGTTACGTGACCTTATGGAGGCTGGAAAACTTATTGTCTATTCGATTCATCCTTCAATTGTTGTACAGATTAAAGGTGATCACGACCTATCAGACGCCGTTCCTGGTGCAATAGATATTACCTATCCTTTAATGAATTCTACCATAAAATTACTTAATGATCTTGATTACGACTTAGACTGAGTTGTATATCAGAATCTTGACATCCAAAATCCAACACACAAAATCCCGGCAACAAAATCCCGAAACACAAAATCCAGCCAAATTAAAATCCCGACGATATTAAAATCCCAATACCCAAAATCCCAATACTCAAAATCCTGAAATTATCAAAATCCCGACACTACCAAAATCCCGATATACAAAATCCCAACACTCAAAATCCCGACAGTATCAAAATCCCAATACACAGAATCCCAATACTCAAAATCCCAAAAATTAGAATCCAGACACAGAATCCCGATGCTCAAAATCCCAAAATTAGAATCCAGACACACAGAATCCCTCCCGATACTCAAAATCCCGAAAATTAGAATCCATACACTCGGAATCCCGATACTCAAAATCCTGAAATTAGAGAATCCCGATACTCAAAATCCCGAAAATTAGAGAATCCCGATACTCAAAATCTCGAAAATTAGAATCAAGGTGGCAATTTTGATGGTCAATTTAATCTTGGAAGTTGCTACAAAAATGGAATAGGTATTGCTCAAGATGAAAAGAAAGCATTTGAGTGGTATTTAAAATCTAGTGAAGGTGACGATTCTGAAGCGCAATCTAGATGCTATGAAATTGGAATAGGCAATATTTATTTTGAAAGTGAAAGGAAAGGGAAAGCTTACAAACATTTAAAACTTGGAAATTGTTATAGTGAAGGAATAGGCATTACTAAGGATGAAAAGAAAGCATTTGAATGTTATTTGAAATCTGCAGCAGGTGACGATCCGAATGGACAATTTAATCTTGGATTATACTATCTAAAAGGGCTAGGTACCGATAAAGATGAAGAGAAAGCATTTGAATGGTACTTGAAATCTGCTGAAGCTGGCAATTCGAATGGGCAATTGGTTCTTGCGATTTGCTATGATGATGGAATAGGTACTGACAAAGATGAAAAAAAGGCTTTTGAGTGGTATTTAAAATGCGCAGAAGGTGGCAATGCTAGAGCGCAAGCCTCTCTTGGATTCAACTATATGTATGGAATAGGCACTGACATATATATAAAAAAAGCATTTGAGTGGGATTTGAAATCTGCTGAAAGTGGAGATCCTGTTGGACAAAACAATCTTGGAGTCATTTATGAAAATATTCTTGGTGATGAAAAAAATGCATTTAAATGGTATCTGAAATCAGCGGAAGGTGGTTATTCACTTGGACAAGAGCATCTAGGATGTGTTATCGTAATGGTTTTGGAACATTACAAAATCAAGAAAAAGCAAATGAGTCGTTACAAAAAGCAAAAAGTAAGAAATTTAAAGGAATCACTAATCATGAAGATCCCAAAATAGACGAATTTTCAAAAACATTATTACTTGAGTATAATTCCCCGCCAATCGTGTGGATACCACTCAGTGAGCTAGAAATTAAGAAAAATGTTGGGGAAGGAGGATTTGCAACTGTATATTATGCTTTATGGATGCCATCATTTGGAGAAATGGGAACAGATACGCAAGTATTACCTGTCGCCCTTAAAATATTTAACGAATCAAAAAATGGTCGTGAAGAGCTTTTAAAAGAGGTAAATTCTTAATAATTTAATATTTTTACATGCATTTATTCTATTAATATATATATATATATGTTTATAGTTGAAAACGCATTACAATATCGGAAACAAAAACCCAACATTTCTACATTGCTATGGAATATCAAGGAATGAAAACACAAATGAACATATTTTAGTCATACAATATGCACGGATGGGATCTTTACGTAAAAATCTTTCCATAATAGCGCAAATGCCATGGGAAAAGAAATTAGGATTATTAGGTTATATTGCATCTGAACTTGAATTTATTCATTCACACAATATTATTCATTGTGATTTACATAGTGGAAATATATTTCAAAATGATCTATATAACGCTTACATTGGTGATTTAGGACTTTCCAGATTAGCAAATGATACTTTAAGGTCAAAATCTGGAAAAGCATATGGAAATTTACCATATATGGCACCAGAACTTTTATGTGGAGAATCATATACAAGAGCATCAGATGTTTATTCTTTTGGAATAATTATGTGGGAAATTTCTTCAGGAAGGACTGTGTTATCTGAATATGACCGTCATAAATATAATGATTCAGACTTGTCTACAGAAATTTGGAAAGGATTAAGACCAAAAGTTATTAGAGACATACCATTATGTTACCAAAATCTTTTAGAAATGTGCTGGGATAGTAATTCATCAAAACGACCATCAGCTTTAGAAATTTATGAAACTATTAAAAGTTGGAAAAGTGATACAAACATTTTATCGAAATTTTTGAAATCTGATAAAGCAATTGAAATAAAATATAACATTAGAATTGATGGTAGTGAAATATATACCAGCAAATTTATTGATTATATCAACGAACAACTGATCACTGATAAGCATCAAAGTAATGAATGTATAATCTCAGATAACATCAAGCAACTAATCACTGAAAAGAAACAAAGTAATGAATGCATAAATTCAGATAATTTCTTTATTATTAATGAGCTCTCATTTACTGATCAACAGCAAAGTAACGAATGTATAATCTTAGATAATATTACAGTTGAAAACAGAACAAAAAAATCAGAATTTATTATGATAAGATTAATAAACTTTATTTATAAAATTGTACCAATTTATTTAGCATATTTAATTATTAAAATTTTTTATAATTAAACCAATTTATTAGCATTCAACGGATGAAATTCACCGATATATTATTTTAAATGTTATATACAACTTATAGAAACTTACTTCTAATTTTAAATGTTAAATACGACTTATAGAAACTTTTACTTCTAATTTTAAAGCTAAAATAAAACTTTAAAAGCTAGAGGTAATGTTTTAATTATTATTTGAATGGTAGACATTTTTAGGAAGTTAAAAATCTTTACTTCATTGAAAAATCTTGACAATAAAATTTAACAATAATTTAAATTTAATTTACATTATGTGACTATGCTATGAAACGTAATATTACTGCATTATTAATAAAAAATATTTTGTAAAAATAAGTGTGAGGTTTGAAAGAAGGATTGATTCTAAATTCAATTAGAGCATGAACATAGTTAAATTTACAGATCAAAAGCTTGTATTTAGCTGGTTCAGGTTTCAAACGGGACGGAATTCAGACATGTTGGATAAACAAATCTATTAGATATACTCAGTACAATTAATCAAATGCTCACTAGTAACGATTTGTCGCAACCTCATAGTGCAGAACACGGATTTTAAACTTTAATTTATCAGAATAAACTCTATGAAGAAGTAAGTAGCAAAATCATCGATCGATTAATTTTGACTTGATATAACAGAAAATCAGTTTACAGATAAATTCTGTGACAACTTATAAAAATTTAATTGACTATTATTCGGCTGAACCTGATCTCAGTATGATCGATATATACTTTAATTCATAATATTAATAGAACAGTAGAATATTTCATAAAATTACTTTATATTTTTATGTATTGTATGTTATTATAAAGGATCAATTATGGATGCACATAGATTCCTCTTATTACTATGAATAAAAAGTAGAGAACTCTACAAGGAGGAGTCTTACGGTCTTGGATAATATGTACTGTATATTTAGTAATCAACAAGCTTATTTATAATAAAATATATATATTCAGAATATGACAGCATTATTTTTTTGATGTCTTCATGCATGTAAGCTTTATAAACCTTGACTAAGTGTCATTTAACCCTTGCTCTTGCTTTTAAATATTAGAATAACTATAATAATTCCTATATAATCTATTGTTTTCGCTATTAATATAAACAAGATATACTATTAATTTGTTCATTACCTGTTAATGGAATTAAATTCTGTATGTCGAGAATATGAGTTCAATTTGTATAGTTTGAGCAGAAATTTATAACAAAAACTTGTAGTAATTAAATCAATCAGGCCGTTATGATAACATCTAATATAGAGGTATAATAAGATATTATTTAGATTTGTGAAAATATTATCATATAATCGAACCAAGATTGGAGTGCCTAAGCTTTACTACGTATGACATATCTTGACAAACATAAATATAAAAGAATTTAATAGTTAAAGTTTACAATGCTATTGATTGTAAAAAATTCAAAGATTATAAATTTATATTACTTAAATATTATTGAATCATATATATAAGTAATAAAATATAATTTATTTAATTTGGCGCGATATGTATTAATATAAACAATTTTAATAAGAGTTTTCAATAAGGTAGGCTAATAAAAGCATGTGTACAGTATAATTAAATTTTAAACAGGTTTATTTAAGAACTTAAAGTAGGGCAGGTTATCCTAAAGAATTTTTTAACTATCGCGTTTTTTAATCAAATTTTGCCCTAAATTCATTCCACCCTGTCCCAGCTATCCAGGCGTAAGATGATTGGTTGTGTTTTTCAGACTACACGTGATCTAATATCATTTTCAAACCTTTAAAACTTGATAAAAGAAACCGTGTTTTACGCTCTAACGCAAAACATCAAAATTATAAATGAGAATGTTAGCATCAAATTTTTTTAAAAAAACATTTAAGACCTTGCATAGTAAAAGTTTCGAATTGGGAATGTAGAAATTAACGAATAGGAAAAAATAAGATTGACGCTACTTTACAATATTTCAAATAAAAATTGTTTGTAAACTCGAAATTTGGAAAGGTTTTCTTTCGACCCTGGTGTAATTATAAATTATGTACTTGGCCGTAGAATCTATAAGCTTGTATGGAATGTCAGGATATGTTTAATTTAGATTTTATTTTAGTAAAAACTTTATTGGTTTTTCAGCTTCAATTCATTTAATTTTAGAAAAAGCCAGATCTTTTAAAAAAAAAAATTATCTACAATAATAATAATAATAATAAATAAATAAATAAAATATTTGATGTGACAGTAATATAACTATTTCATTGCTACTGATTTTGTTCATGCCTCAAAACTTTAAAATTCTTATCAATTTAATCAACTATGAATCAGTACAGTA